AGATTTGGTCTCCACGGAAGAGTAGTGGAATCAAATCAATCTCGAGTCTGATCTTCACGGAAAAGTAGTGGAACATATTCTTCTTATTTCAGATTTGGTCTCCACGGAAGAGTAGTGGAAGCAAATCAATCTTGAGTCTGATCTTCACGGAAAAGTAGTGGAACATATTCTTCTTATTTCAAGATTTGGTCTCCACAGAAGAGTAGTGGAAGTAAATCAATCTTGAGTCTGATCTTCACGGAAGAGTAGTGGAACATATTCTTCTTATTTCAGATTTAGTCTCCATGGAAGAGTAGTGGAAGAAAATCAATCTCGAGTCCGATCTCCACGGAAGAGTAGTGGAACGGATTTCCCATCAAAGCATAAAGTTAATCAGACGAAAATTCATTGTCTTTTCATCTTTGCTCTATTATTGTTAACACAAAAATTAGCAAAGAGTGGCAGCTGTCGACAATCATTTTCGTTCGAGTTTACGTGTTTATAATAATAATAATATTATTATTATTATTATTACAAATAATACAATAAACCGAGAAGCCCAGCAATCCAGAACCCGGTCCAGACCTAGAATCGGTCTAGGCCCAAATTCAGACCCAAGAACCTGTCTAGGGTTTTCTTCATCTTCTCCAGCCGCCAGAGATTTCAACTGTTGGATTTAGAGAGATCCAACGGCCCAAATTCATCCAGCAAAAACCCTTGGGTTTTATTACAACCCTAGGGCTATTTCGGTCGCCTCCACCAGGTGCTCTAGTCAGTCGTTGCCACGCCATCACCAGCTCACCAAAATTAAAACAGTTTTATTTTGATCATTGGATCATTAAACCATTAATGACAACTGACAAGACACGCTAAAATAACTAGTAGTCACCGCTCCTCATTTTATTGTTGTCCGATGGCTTTTCTAGTAAAAAATATCATTAAACTATTCATATTTTCATTCTCATTCTTCTTCTCATTCTTTATCTAGTAAAAAAGCACAGTAGTATTATCGTTATTCTAGATCAACATTAAGAGTTTCATAAACAAAAGCATGTTAAAGACATGACACTAAGTAGTAGGTACATGCATGATCTTAATCAAGTGCTACCTACTTAAGGTTCAACTATTCTATCACTGAAGTAGGAATCTCACGCTTCCCTTAATCCTCTACTAAGGGCCTCGCCATGAGACATCTCTAAAAGGTCTCGTCATGAGTACATCTCTAAAAGGTCTCTAACCCTAATGACTGTAACTGCTATGCATTACCTAAATATGACACTATTACTCATATGCATTATCTGAATGCAAACCTGACTAGTATCTCATCTCACATAGCTATTAGACACTAATTAACTAAGGGAACCTGATGTCACATAGCATTGGTGCAAGTCCCATTAAGCTGCTGAATGATATCCTGGTCTTACATAGCTATCAGGTATATCATGGGGAACCCGGTGTTACATAGAATCGATACAATTCCTGCTCAACTGAAGCATTGGCTCAGTCTCACATAGCCATCAAGCCAAGCTTTAAGGATATATGATGTACTTGACTGATGCAACTATACATGTATATCTAAGGGCCCAAGGCCACAAAAATATGACATCGCTAACCCACTCCTCGTAAATGTTTGGGCCTCGCACCCTAGTTAGCCACTGAAGTGCCTCCCGCACTGATAATGCCCCACTAGGGCATCTAAGGTAACCTGGCTATACCCTAATATAGTTGGGCATACTAAAGTGAGGTCATCTTCTAACTAACTACTATCTCCCTCGTTCTCTCATCTAGAACGTTATGCAAGGGTTTATTATTTTGTTATTATTGTTAGTTATTAATCTGATCTATTATTGTCGTTCGTTACTTAAGGGCGTTTTAGTCATTCTCTACCTCTAGAGAAGTCTCTAAGTGTTTCGTAATTCTACGATGATTATTATCTATTGTTCGCTGACAGTATTAGTTACTAGCTCGACACTTGATTCAGGTTCATTACTAGGTATCGACATTATGATCGCTCTTATCACACTTTTCTTCAATACCTTTTGAATTGAAGGGACGACTTACACGTCCTTGGTTCATTAACGTTCTTGAGGGTCACACTTTATGTTATTATTGAATCTGACTTACTCACCGTATTGCTTGTCGTACATCTTTTGTAAAGATCATCATTCTTAACTATTTGATACATGCTTAACTGAAGATACTTGGGCGTATTACGCTTAGTATGGTTGCATCTGTTGTAACCCACTCCTATGAGTGTTCCTATGTATCTTTGGTTATTTACCCCATGGACTAAGTCTTACCATTACAGATCATCCTTAACTCTTACGGGCCTTAAACAGGTCAAATCTAACAATCCAAATTGAGTAGCATCGAGACTCTATTTGTAGTATCAATACCTTATGGTCAAGTATTGATACCCCTATGAATATCGATACAAAAAATGTATTTTGTTGCCGATAATTAGGCCTAGTATCGATATTGTACACCATGAGTATCGATACTCTCCCTAAAAATATCGATATTGTCAGTTGGTAACCCCTAAATTACATCCTGATTCATCCAATATCGATACTCAAACCCAAAAATGTCTTACTTAGTCTCGAAAAACACCCAAATATCATCCTAAATGTCATAGTTTGATTCATAATCATGTGTTAAAGCTTTAAAGAGTTACTTAGGGTTATAAATTGGCAAAAAACATATTCTTTACATCAAATTCATTATCTAATCATTAAATCAAACATAAACCTATAATGCTTAAATACTCAAATCTTAACAAATCTTTATATTTATGAAAACCTTAACACTCTAAAGGATTAGAAATACACTACCTTAATGTTAGGAATCCAAAATGAAGCTCCTTCTTAGCCACACTTCCTTCCTCTAAGATTTGGATGACCCCCACTTTTCTCTTAGCTACAAATAACCCAATGCTTTAAATCATTAAAACGATGATGCTGATGGGATTATGGACAAATTTGAAGCATGAAAGGAGCTCAAGAACTTACCTTTGTGTTATAGAACTTGGAGATGAAGAAGGAGAGGAAAATGAGAGAAGAAGAAGAGAAGAAAGAAGAAAGAAAGAAGAAAGAAGAGAAGAATGAGATGAAAGTGATAAAAAGCTTCCATCTTTTTAAAATGAGATAATTGCATTATAGGTCATTCCCCATCTTTATAAAATTCAAAAACCTTCTTTTATGTCTAATTAGGCTTCAATTCAACCCAATTAAGCCTAGCTCGGTCTAACGAATTAAATTATGAAATCCACTGGATCCATACACCTCTCGAGTAAACCCAAAACTACTAGCCCAAAATTCGGGGTGTTACAAGTTAGGTTTCTTAAAATCTAATCCCTAAACTTTTAAATTTAAGTAAATTTTGGATTTGGTCCTCGCATCTATGACTGAGTTCCATTTAATTATTCGATCCAATAATTGTCTAAAATTGGTTATGATTAATAATTAGATCTTCTATTTTAGTTTAATTTCACTTTAGTCCCTTAATTTGGGTGAACTTTTGATTTAGTCCTCGCATTTATACTCGATGTTCCATTTCAATTATTCGATTCAGTAATTGGTTAAAATTGGTTATGATTAATATTATAGCCTATATTTTATGCTTAATTTCACTTCAGTCCATAAAATTAGAAGAATTTTTAATTTGGTTCTTGCATTTATGCTCGAGGTTCCATTTTAATTATTCGATTCCATAATTTGTTAAAATTGATTAGGATTAATATTGGAACCTACATTTTTAGGTTTAATCATCTAGTTCCTATAAAAATCATAATTTGATAATTTAGCTAGAGGGAAGCCTTAATTAATTTGTCTAATATAATTAGGTTCAATAGTTGATTGTTTGATACCATGATTTGATTTCAAAATGAGGTAATGTTCATTTATTATGAACTAATAGTGTATCTTCCGCATTATACCCAAGGGTGACCATTATTGATTCCCGAAGTAAATCAACATCCTTTTCAAAACCCTACATCATGATTTCTAAATCATTGAGGCAATGTTTATTTATAAGGATCAATAACGAAACTTTCGCTTGTGCTCGTGGTAGTCGTTATTGGTTTTGGTAAATCAATATCCTTTTTAAAATGTGCATACATAGTGGCTTTTAAATTAAATAAAATTCAAAATTCTGATTTTAAAATATAAGGTAACCGACTAGGTATCAATTCTTGGGCGCTGTGGAGGTGCTAATTCTTCCCCATGCGTAACTGACTCCCGAACCCGATTTCTGATTTTGCATACCAAAACATTGGTATTTTAGTAAAATAAAAATGTTTTATTAAAATTAATTGAATTTAGTTGTTCTAATGCTCCCATCTTTTCATATAAAAAACCTTTTCAAAGAAAATCTCATCGTCGTAACGGGTCGATTTTTCCTTTCAAAGGGCCAATTGCGACATGATCATACTGAAAGCGACTTAAAAGTTTAATGCAAGTTTTAAAAGTTTAGTAACTAAAATAAAAGTATTCTAAAAGTTCAATGACCATTAGTATAATCTACCACAATTATAATTGGAATTAGTGGGTCGTCATTGTCATGAAAAAGCATCACAAAAACATCCTTTATCCAAAAATGGAAAATCCCAAACCACACTATCAACCATTCCTTTTTTCATCTACAACCTAACAAACAACAAATTTCAACGGCTCAGATTGCTCCATAATTGGCAATGGAGCCCACTTCAATAACCCCACCAATTCCACTCTTTGCTTCATGTCTTAATTTAGATCAAAACCCTCACCAAAGCTCTAACTCTCACTTCACACAAATCCAAGCAAGGAAAATAAATATTTCATAGATCATATAATCAAGAATTCGATATCTCAGATTCTATATTATAAATGAAAGAAAATAAGTAAGAGTTCCATATCGATTTATAATATGATTACGAAACACGGAAAGCTTAACACATACTACAATCTCATTCAATCCACTTGATTACTACAATTCCCTAACTTTGACCATTGAAGCTAATAGGGAAAGAAACAAAAGATAAGCAAAGGAAGGAAGAAGCAGGAATTTACTTCTCTTTTGGAAGTGGACTGCCCCAACTGAAAATAAAAAAGCAGAGAAAATGGCAGATTGATTTATATTATTTTTAATACTATTATGATTATATATATGTATCATACCCAGAGAACGCCAACTTCGACGAGCTTTGGGATGAGGTGGCCACCAAGGTGGAGAGCGACGAGGGATTCGAGTCCGCCGACGAAGGTTCCGCCAATGAAGACGGCGGGAGATAGACTCCGGGAGGAGAGGCCACCGTGAGAAGAGGGTACAGGGAGGGAAGTAAACTCGTGGTCATCGAGTTCGATGACGGTAGGGTGAACACCGATGGTGGCCAGGAGCTTCTTCATGACATGGCACATGCAACAAGATGATCGGCTGAAGATGATTAGTGGGTGCTCGGATATCAGTCTCCGGATCCGTGTCTCCAACGTCTCCTCCTCGTCTATCGAAAGGCTGCCGCCGCTTGCGTTGGGGCTGCTCATGGTGGTGGTGGAAGATTAAAGCTGCACCGATGTCACTAGAGCAAGTATTTTTTTTAATTGTGATTTAAGGTAATGGAGTGTCAGTGAAGGTTAAATATAGAAGGGAGAAGACGGCAATGCTTTGTTTACATCATAAAGTAAAGTTTTATATAGATTCTCTTTATGACTGGGATCATGGGATTTGTGGGGTAGACGAGAATTGGGGAAATAACATGGAATAAGGCATAATATTAATAATACTAGGAGAATCAAGTTGTATCATAATAAAATATATGGACTAGATCCCAAGTTCATTATAGTATAGGAATGAAAACCATAATTTGACTAATTTTTGTATTGTTTTGTTTAATAATTCTTGTCAAATGTTAATGTAGCGATAGTATATAGCTAACGATCTACTTACACATTGTATTCTTTTTTTTTTAATTTTAATCAAATTTAAGATCAATTTATGAGTAAAAAAGGTCGAGGTTAATTCTTTTTTCTTTCAGTAAATATTTTTTCATTTTCTATTGTTAATTTCATTCATTTATTAGTAATTTTACACAAATTTATATATGTCTTTTTAGAGTTTTAATGATTTATTAGCATGTATGATAGAGACAATGTTAGAAATTTTATATAGGGATAAAATAAAACTAAAAAAGTAAAGGAATTAAGGTTTTAAAAATATAATTTAAAAGGGATTAAATGAAATAATTATTTTTTAGGAGCATCATAAATAAATTTTTTTTCATTAAAACAAATGGCTAAAAAGGATTGAAATGAATATTTATTATTTAGGAGAAATCGAAAATGCAATTAACCCTTTTAAACATGGGGCCACGATTAGGGATGAAAAAAAACCTTAAACCAATAATTAAAAATGAATATTAATCCCAAATATAAACCCTTCAAAAATATTTAAAAAATAATGTAATATTTTTTCCTTTTTAAAATGTGTAAACTAATGTTCTCAAGCAAATCAATAAATGGAGAGGAGGAGAGACTCAGCAGTGGAGGGTTCGGTTCGTGGCTCCAAATGGTTTTCTGTGTTTGTTAACAATGTGAGTAAAAGAATTCATTCGGAAACTCTAAAGGAATCGTTCAAGGTGTATGGAGTTGTGACTGACGTCTTCATTGCATACAGAAGCAAAAGAAGACAAACAGTCGGTTCTACTTTTGCCTTTGTCAGGTTTAGAAGCAAATCGGAAGCTGATACAACGGTACATAAAGCTGATGGTAGGATTATGGATGGTTACAAGATTAGAGTTTTTCATGATAACAAAGTTGCAGTAAAGTATAAGAGAGCTGAGAATGATAGAGCTTTGAAAAAAGTATGGAAGCCATCGTTAAGGGATTCTAGGTCTTTTAAAGAAGCCCTTAGAGGTCTACAGACAGAAGAAGGAAAATCACATGATATTGAAGATAGCATCCCTCCTAGTAAAATATCAGGGCCGAAAAACGTGGTTCATATTATGATAGCAAAAGACAATGATCCCAGTCAAGTTCCAAAAATCATCGGTAAGAGCAGGAACATTTTCATTTCTAAGAATGAGGTTTCATGGAGTCAGACTTGTTTGGTTGGGAAAATAAAAAACGTGTACAACGAAGATATTGTGCAAACAACCTTTTGTGCAGAAGGTTTAGACGTCAAGGTCAGTATTTGGCATGAACTTCTGGTTGTTATTCAATTCAAAAATGAAAATGATAGACAGGTTTGTTGGTCTAAAAGAGACGATTGGGTTCGTTGCTGGTTTGATGAGCTGGAGATGCTGGAAGGCTATGAGAACAAAATTAAAGTTAACGTTGGGATTAATCTGATAGATGTTCCTCTTTCAGTGTGGAGTGAGAAGTTCTTTATGGACTTAGGCAGTTTGTGGGGAAAAGTTATATCGATAGACGAAGACACTTGTAGTCGGGCTAGGTTTGACATAGCTAGGATTTTGCTGGAAGCACAGAATATTTCAGACTTTCCAGAGAAGGTATCAATTGTCCTTAATGGAAGAATTTACACCATCAAAATTTGAGCAGAAATCCATGAAGAAGTTCGAGTGTTCATAGATGGTTCGCTGGCTGGTGGTAGAGGGTGGCAAACAGTTGCTGAGGAAACAGCCGACGTATCATTGATCAAAGAAGAATATGCTGATGGAATTGTTCCCGAGACTGGTTTTAATGAGGTAGCTTTTTATGTTTCCTCCTGTCAGAGGAGTGATAATGATGTTGGATCGGTGACAGTTAGATCGGGGCACGCTGTTATTAATGAGGATAGAGCTGCAACCGTTGAGGTAGTGTTGTATGATGTCCCGATTATGTCCAATGTTGGGCCAAGTATCCAGCCCGTAGATGAGAGTATTGAGCTGATGGAAATAAACAGGGACCTTGATTATTTTTGGACATCTCAGTCAATTTCTAATAATTCTATATTGTTGGATGTCCCAATAGAAGAAGTGTCATCCTTCATAGCAGTGGAAGAGGGGTTAGCAGATGTCTCACGCGTGGATACTAATGTGCAATTCCTGAAGGAGAATCTAGAAATTCTGAATTCACAAGAGGAAAATATCTTTTTAAGGGCTGATAAAGGAGTGAATTCGGTCGATAAGGGAGTTTTCATGAAATGTAAAGCTCTAAAAAGGAAGAAGGTGAGTGCGAAAACCCGAGGTGGGTTCCTCAACTCAAGATCGAATAAGGGCGATAGTGGAGTCCTTGTCGGGGTTAATGATGGCTGCCATTCGGTTTCAGCAACTGAAGTGGAGGCAACTTTCGCCGTCAGTAAGGCTTTGGGTGTGGTGTTCTCAGCGTCAAGAGGGGAAGTGCTTCAGAGGCTGGAGCAGTTTGAGCAATCGTGTAAGCACTGATTTTGGATTTGTTTGGTGTAGAATTGGTCTCATTTGTGTGTTCTTTCCCTGGTTGCCAATCGTTTTTTGGTCTTAGCTGTTTGGTTTGAATGTAATAGGGAAGTGTTTAGTAGGATTACTGCACTGGAATTCATTTTTTACTGTTTAGGTAGTTGTTATCATTGTGGGTTTCTTTCTTATATTAGTTGGGATTTCATTGATGTATGGGTCGGGGAGATTCTGTTGTGTTGTAATGTAAATCGAATAATGTTTGTTGCTACTTTAAGGTACACTCTTTTTCTTCCATGTTAGGTTTAGGGAGGATTTTTAATGAGGTCCTTGTAGTGGTGTACTTTGTAAACTTCTCTAATACAAAGTTCCATTTAAAAAAAAAATGTAGCAAGGCAAAATCAATTTTAAATTAAAAAGAACTAAGTTTTTAACTAATGTTTGTATTGAATGGAAATAAAATTTATACTTCAATAAGAATTTTAATGTTTTGAATAAAAATAAATATGTATAAATTTATTAAAAATAACAATTAAAAGTGAAACAATTATGTTAATGAAATATTAAATATACATTTTTAATATTTAGAACTTTCAACTTATATTTTCTTTTATATGTAGCATTGATTTACACATGTGCTTATACATGAGAACACGTGTTTTATAATTTTGTTTTGATATCGGGATTGGATTTTTTTTTTGAATATGACAAGAGTATCGTTGTTCTAAAAACATATAGATTCTTAGTCTTAAATTAAGTGCAAATATAATTTTGGCATGCTATTTGACTACTATTTTATAAGGATTAGGATGTAAACTATTTTATAAAATATGTTAGTTCTAGTTTTTTTTTTTTTGAAAATTAGTCCTAGATTTTTTTTATAAAACTTTATCGTCTTTTTAATTAGTGTTTATTTAATTATTTTATTTATCTACTCTTATTTTAAATCTTTATACTCGTAATCATATCCCATGTATGATGTATTTTTATAGGAATAAAATCAGTTATCAGTGTGCTATAGTAATATGTACTTTTAAGGCAAACTCTTATGGTACTTGGCAAGTGTTTCATTTTTTTATAATTCCCTTTTGAAAATTATTTACTTTTCTATAATAAAATGCATAAATAATTTTAGGTAAACAGTACGCAAAGTCCATGTACTTAAAAAAACGAATATGCCCATTATATTATTTTTCTCTTAATGTGATCTTTCAACTCAAAAAAAAAGAGAATTCAATGTGGTTCTTTGACAAATGTTTTTCGTCATTGACCCACGGTTCTGTTAATTTCTGTTGACATGGATGATTTCTCAAATTGTTATGAATAAAATACTACTTATAGTTGTTAGTAGAGACAGAAATAATCATTTTTCGATTGCATGACAGTTGTTGAAAGAGAAAAAAAAGAATTATGGAGATAATTTTTCAAAAAATTTATGATTAACTCAGAGCATACTAATAATGAAGGACTTACACAAATATCGATTAATGACAAAAGACTTTAGTCAAAAGGATCACATTAATTTTTTTTTTTTTTTGAGTTTCAAGCTATATTTAAGAAAAATATTACGAAGATCACGATATATTTTTTTAAGTATGGAGACTTCACATATCATTTTATCATATTTTTAATTAGATAAAGAGAGTTGACGTGGAGGAACACTCATGAGGGGAAAGGTGGGAACAGTGGGTTCCACTCCCATGAAACAAATTATGATCTCTATCATCATACTTCTTTATTGCCACGTGGAAGCTTATTTTTCACTTTCCTTCAGGCATGGAGATTGGAGTCTAACCGGGGGAGGACGAATAATGCGGGGCCAACCAACCCTTTTGGAATCTTAGGTGGAGCCAATTGGAGCAGCCCGCGTGGATTGCAGCCTGTTTGTAACGGTTGGTGATGAAAAATTGGGTCCCACTCCCACCCATCATGATTCATGAAGCTGGTAATCCCGCTAAAAGAGCTGCACCGTTGTTGGTGGCCGGTAAAAATGGTGTTCATCTGGTGAATGTTATGTTATTGATAGGCACGAACCAGATGAGTGTTTTATATAATCAAATTCTCTCTGGAATTATTGTTGATTTTAAGAGTCACGAATTCGAGCACTAGAGACTGATTGAACGTTCATTGTCCCATAATTAAGAATATTAAAACATATACTACTTTCTAATCATCTTAGTTTAATAAATAAATAAATAAATTATTGATGAAAAACCATTTTTATTATAATTTATAAATCTGTAAAATATTGAACTAATCAATTCATCTTAATGGTAGAAAAAAATTATTTTTTCTAAATATTCTGAATTTAAATAGTTGCGTCGCATAATATTACTCTCAATTTTTTATAAAAAAATATATTGAGATATATACCTATTTAGACCCCTAATTTTCAATTCATTTGGATTTCATCCCCTTGTTATTACTCCTATCCCATAAAAGATATCCATAATTGACTTTTTTAGTCAAAATTTTTTAACTTTGACTTGTTATTATTTAAAATTTATGATCTATAAAAGTATATTTTAAAAATCTTTAATCAAGTAGTTTTCAAATATATATTTTATAAAAATTTAATTATTTAAAATATTTAAAATAATTAAGGTCAAAGTTTAAAAATTTTAACTTTTTAAAAATTAATAAGAGACAATGGGACGGAGTATTATTTTCACATTAATGGAGTGGGTATGATCATGTATGAATTAGCTGACCACTATTACTTCCACTTGAAACATTATCATGAATATTTTCGTGCGGTAAACTTACGTTCACCATAAGTGAAGAAAGAGAGGCCACATTCATTTGTTGAGAGGAAGTTTTGATTGGTGTTGTAAGATTCAAAAGCATTATGATTTTACATTATTTCATTTGACATTTGACTATGATGAGATACTATTCAAAATTTGAGTAGTTACACATAATATTGTTTTCTTAGAGATTCTAGATTCTAATAGTTGGTCTGTATATTGTCAATAATAACTAAAAAAGATTCTAAACAGATATTATTTTGTAATTATACTAAATTATTCAAAAACAATTTGCAAATCGGGAACCCATTAATCAACTTCAGTGATTAAAGAAAATGTTGTTCCTTTTAGAAATTCCAGAATCGAACTGTTGTGTCTGTAGGATGTGTGCATGATATTAATAGTTAAAAAAATTATGGGCCAATACTATCTTATAATTACGCTAAGTTATTTAAAAGTATGCAAAATGGGAGGACATGAACAACTACCGACACACACCTCAACAACAAATTTGTGTAGGGCTCAAATGACCTAGACCAGATTATATATAATATGACCTACACGAGATTATACGTGAAGAAATTATCGTCATGCTTAACATCACTAGGCATTGTTAATGGATGGAAAATCTTTTAAGGGCAATTTATTGCTGCCACCTGTTCGCCATGCCTTTGCCATTATATGTTTGATATGCCTTTGCTCAATCATGGGTGTTAGGCTTTGTTTGTTTCTCATTTTATTTATTTACATCCTTTGTTTATGTTTGATAAACTTCGTACTTGGTCACTTGATTTTTAACTTTATTTCTATTTTGATCACTCATTTTTATTTTTCTTTATTTATTTTACTTAATTTTCAAATTTTATTTTATTTATCACTCAACCATTAAGTGTCCAATATTGTTTATTTTTTTTATAAAACTCATGCAAAAACATCATAATTTTTTCTCTCTCAAACTCATATTTTTAGATTTCCTCTTATTCACCATTTTCAAAATTTTGTCTTCTAAATCGAAACAGTAGAGATATCAAGGAAGGGGGAAGCAATGTATCTCAATTTCACAATGATCATACAATAAAAATTACATATCGAACTAAGATAAAAACGGAACTTTTATTTGAATTTCATCAATTTAGAGAGGATTTTGAGGAAAACTAGAATGAGAGGAGGAAAGAGGAAAGAAAGATAAACATTTTAGTGCTAATTACATCACAAACAACGAGCAACAACGGTGGAAAATGATTTTGGCCATAAGAAAGAGGAAAGTTAAAAATGTTATGTTAATTTCATAAATAAAAATGTCCAAAATAAAGTGTTTTGGTAGTGTTATCATACAAGGTTTTGAAAATTGGATGATCAAAATAAAAATAAAATAAAAGTTGAATGAGTAAACGAGTTAGTTATTTGATTGAAGGTGACAATGGATGTGGCGTGAGATTACAAATGAGATGAGGGGACCTGTTGATGTTATTGCAACTGTTATTTAAGGTTTCCCCATTTCTCCTAACATGAGTATGAAATGTAGTTCGTTTAGATTCCTTTGAATTTAAAAATGAAGAATGTTTAGAATATGTTATTATAAATTATTTAATAATAAATATTTAAATATCCTTATAGATACCGTGTTTGAATCTAGAAGCTCCGAAAATATCGATAATCTCTTTAACAATTGAGATAATTTGATTCATACTGATTACGATATTTTAAATAAATTAAAACTACGCATTTGTTAAAACGACCTATAGGAGAAGGGCATGCATGGGCAGCTGCCATCTCTCATTCTCATTCCTTTCCATTTAGTTTCGGCCATTATTTGGTGAGGGCCCAAATTTTCTCTTCCTTTATAGAAGCCATTATTGACACTCTTGGGCTAGGAAGTCTCATGTTTACAACTCATGTTCAGATTAACAACGCACATTTATCATGCAAGTGTAACTATTCGAATTCGAATTTTTAAGAATTTTTTATTATTATTGAAATTTCTCAATAGATTCAAAGTGAAAAAAAGGAATCGAGTGGGGGTCGAACCGTTGAAGGGGACCTTCAAAAAAAGTCTAAGAAATATTTAAGCAGCAGTTAAGTAGAAAGCATGCTTATTTTACTACAAGAAACTACAAGTGGTGGGAAGTGGGGACTTCAATTGTAATATATTTGTACTGAGTCGACTATAATTACTCACTGACATGACCTTTCTCATGAATCTGCTCTGTTTTTGGTCAAAATCAATGGTGTTGATTGTGATGCAAGAACCATACCCTTGCCATCCATATTAATCATGGAAAAACACCCACGCATGTATTTTGTCTTGAAAAAAGTCAGAAACAAAAGTTATTTTCTATGAATCCCGAAATGAAAAGAATATAACAAATAATCACAATGAATTTGTGAAACTAGTTTTTCTGTTGCCAAAGATTTGTCTCTTTATACAATACTAGCAGGAAGTTCAGTTTTCAGATTTCCGTTGCAACCCATTATAAATCCCTCTCTCTTTATCCAGACGATGCTGCCTGCGATTTCTGTCGGGGTGGAATCCGGAGCCACACCTTCATCATGTCGTATGCAGCGAATCCAACAGCTACCGAAGGAACAATCTGACAACCAAATCACAACACACACCATTAGAACGAAAACTAACAGCTATGTTTGATATCATTGCCGAGTTACAAAATACCTTGATGTAATTAATGCTCAAGCCTGCAAACAATTGTCTCCATCCGTGATTACGGACAATCGTAGTAAGACCATCGTATGTGTTTCTATATCGTGTATCACCTTGAATCGATGAAGACTGAAGACTTCCAACCTGTAGGGTAACATTCAAAAAATTACTTGCAGGATGTTTTAGTTGAGACTATGGTGAATATTTCAGGTTGAATCAGACTGCTTCAAAACCGGTTTATTTAACCAGGTTGTTTATATATATATAGTATCATTAAGTACACATGTTGCTTTTACTGCACAATACCTGCATCTGTCTCCTTACAACATCTAAAGGATACGTGAAGGTCTGGCCAAGTAATCCAGCTATTGCTCCACAAGAGAGATTCATCACAATGGACTTTTGGTGCTCTTCGGGAACACGTATCTTTATTACCTCGTAGATGTAGAACTTTAGACCGGCGTAAGGGAGGATCCCAGCCAGTGTTGGACCTATGGAAGCAAAAAGTTTGATCAAGTCAAAGCAAATCTAGCAAAGAAAGTAAATGCACAATGAAACTACACTAAAGAATTTCAAGATTGCAAGTTGAACTACCGAAAATCTCTATTACCATGAAAAATTGAAGATATTTAAACAGGAGAATAAGAATGCTCGTGCCAGTTACAATAAGAATAATGTGAAGAACTTGAAGCCATCGTCAAAAGTATTCATTCTAAGTTGTATACCATGAAGCCACTAGAACAACTCCGTACTACATACCTACACCTCGATATAATCCGCGCATTCCTCCTTCCTTGTAAACAGTTGTCAGTACATCTCTTATGCCACTATATGCAGGTCGAGGATATAAACTTGTCATAGCAGAACTGAATTTTGTCCTGGTGTCAACAACCTGATAAACCAAAAATAGTTAACGGGAAAAATCTAATACATTAGTCCATTAAAGAACCAGTAATTGCACGATAGAACAGATTTGATTGAAGTATGAAAGATGGAATTAATTTAAAAGAAGCTCTGCCATTCTTATGGAGATTGTCTCACTTGATAGGCAAGTTTAGTGCGAGCCAAGTCCAAGGGATATGTGCACAAAACTGCTGTTCCTCCAGAACAAGAACCGGCTATAAGATCGACAAGAGGCCCTGATCCAAAGAAATTACAGTTATCTAACATCCAGCCTCGATACTGCTCATAAGTCATGAAATGCAAGGCTGCATAAGGAATGATCCGGACAACACTCGCTCCATTTCCTCTGCAGGTCCAGATAGGCACGAATTAGTCCAACTTTCAAGGAGAACAGAGAAAGGGAAATGGGGAAATAATCTGCAAACTTACTTATAAAATCCCATAAAACCTTCATGCTTTAGCACCTTCCTTAGGGATTGATAAACCCCAAGAGATTGGAAACCATCAGTCCTTGTCTGCAAAACAAAGAATCATAACTTCATTGAAAGCAACAAATACATAACTTGACAAACAACAAGCAAGCACAAGAGTAACATATATAGGCGACATCGATTATATCAATTAGCTCTCACCTGCAAGAGTATTTTAATCCGTTCTAAAGGTGCAATGGTCGTTTTAGCAATGGCACCAGCAGCGCCACCAGCTATTAGCTCTTTGACATAAACAGGCAAACAATCGATGAAGGAAACATCACTGCGAGCAGTCGAACCATCGATAAGGCCGGTCATATCTGATGTCAATGTGGAGCCTTGAGGAGAACCCATCTCAAAAATATCCAAACCGATTATATTGCCAAAATCAACCAATCCTTCAAATTATATAATCACCCGCCTTGAAGCTCGAAGAACTCTTTATCCCATCTATCTCTTGGGATACAGAAGTAAAATGATTTCTTTTCAAAGGGTAGTATCAATGGCCTGAGATCATCCGCTTGATGAAAGCTATACAAGTTCACAAGCCGATCGTTTTCTTCGATGAACACAAGATACATCCAACAAAAAGAACAGATTTTCAGTTATAACACTGCTGTCCCATGACCATGAGATGAATATTGTAAAAAAAGCTTCAAGTGCCCTCAATCTAGATTTATCAACAACAAAAAACTCTCCTTTAAAGAGCCCTCGATTACTCCAAAAACCCAAGTTGAGATTTGTCCAAGGGGGATAAGAAAACGTACCAGAAAAGAGTTAATAAACCAGAGAAAAATACTGGGTAAAATCCAGAATCCGAAAACATAGAGATTTCCTTATTAGGTTTTCTCTTCTTCCCCTTTCTATTCAAAATCTCGAAATTTTGTTGGATTTTTAAGCTTCAAAGAGTTTTTTTTTTCCTTTGGGAATTTAGAAGGGGAAGTACTGTTGTTTGACTATAAATATTGCAGTTTAAGTTAAGGTCGGTGGATCTTCAGACGTAATTCGTGTTGTTGCAGGGTAAGTTGGCTTAATTTACGGCTCAACATCCTAGGAATTAGGGTAGCTTGAAACTGATAAGCTGATTTGGTTGGATTAGGATGTCTTTTTCATCGTTCGATTTGACATTCTTCGCTTCTTTGAAATATTACTATTATACTACTACATAAAAGATCATATAATTATAGGTTGACTTGTGAAATTTTCACTATTTATAAATTTAAATCAATATAATCACTGAATTATTTAAATAATTTTAATATAGCTATTAGCCGTTAACATTTAATAAAGTGTCTATATGAAAGTTAACAAAATTAGTATAATTAAGGCACAAGTCTTTATAAAATTATGTATTCTCAACACTGAAACTTTATTTTGTTTTTTGCCATTTTGATAACTATTTGTATATGATTTGTTTCCTTAAATTTTCATTTAATGTAATTTTATCATGATTCCTTAATTGAGCATTAACTTTAAAATATTTTATCCTTGTCGTGTATTAAATTTGTAACTTAAATCTCTTAGGTTTTATAATTAATCAATTTGATCACTAAGATTAATTTTAATTCTTAATTTTTAATTAGGTCATAATTTTAATTTAATTTAATAAATTTATTTCTCTAATCAAATTGTAACTCATGTCACAATCTTATGATTATAATTTGAATATTAAATTATTTTTAATGATTTCATATATATAATCATTAAAAAATAAATATGAAAATAATAAATTTAGTTTAAAATTATTAAAATCTTAAATTAATTATAAATAAACTATTAGATTTATTTTAGTGATTTAAGTGTTGTCATATTCTCAATTGGCCTAGATATAAGTTATCACTTATCCGTTTTTATTTTTTATAACATAATATAACACAACATAACACAACATAACATAATAATTGATTCCTAAATATTAGATTTATCTTATTAATTAAGGCTTGCTTGATTACTAATTAATTTTTGGTTCAAATCCAATTAAGTTATTTTAACTTTTTCTGTCTAAACTTGAACAAGTTATATAATAAATGGTATTATCTTAATAACAGGCGTGATAATTAGCTCGGTGGTTAAGGCATGTCAGGTAGGGGTGTGCAAAACTACCTGAGCCGGTTGACCAAACCCACCGACCCGATGACCTAACTTAAAAAAATCGGGTAATTTTCTAAAAAAAATTACCAGACCGGGTCGGGTACCCGACCCGACATTTCCTGGGCCGGGCCCGGGTCACAAAATTAAGTTTTTCCGGGTACTCGGTTATCCGAGTACCCAGTTAGTTTTTATTTTTTATTAATTATATATATATATATAATGAATTATTTATAATATGGATTATTAGATTTTGCATTTCGAACTTTTAAATTTTATGTTCAGATGTTGGAGTATGTAATTCGAAGTTTCAAACATTTAAATTTGTTTATATATTTTTTAAATTAATAATTTGAAAATGAAAAAAAACCAGGTAGCAGGTACCCGATTACCGGGTACCTGCAAAATTGGGATACCCGCAACATCCAGGTCGATACACGGGCCGAGAAATCATCCACCCGGATGTTGCCGGGTACCCAAAAATCTGGGTACACGGATTTGCACACCCCTAAATCCAAGTTACCCTTGGGACCCAATTTGGATTCTCTTTGGTGTTAAAACTTATCTTTATTTATTTTCACTTTAATTCAAAATGTGACACGTATCACCTTTTGATTAGATTGAAATTTATTAAATTAAAATTAAAAAACTCTCTAATTAGATTGTGACATGTGTCACAATTTGATTGGAGAAAAAAATTTATTAAATTAAATAATTAGGACCTATTAAAAATTAATAATTAAAATTAATCTTGGTGATCAAATTGATTAATTCTAAAATCTAAAAGATTTAACCTATAAATTTAATACATAAATAGAATAAAATATTTTAAATTTAATGCTCAAATTAATTCATTAGACAAATTAAAAATAGAATCAGGGTCAAATTGCTCAAGGAAACAAATCATACACAAGTAATGACCAAACTGGAAGAAAAAAAAAGCAGTGTTCCAACGCCGCGAATACATGACTTTACAAGGATTCGTATTCTAATTATATCAATTTTGTTAACTGTCACGTAGACACTTTCGTTAAATGTTATCGACGGTGGTTGATTATATTGAAACCATTTAAATGGTTCAGTGGTCATATTGACGTAAATTTGAAAATGGTGGTCATTTCGCGACCAAATCCATAATTATGTGATCATTTATGTAGTTTACTCAAAGACTAATGACAATGATATAATTGTTAGGATAAATGATACTATTCATCATTTAACTATCTTATATCTCCTATTTTGATCATTATACTTTTAGTTTTTTCAATTTAATCACTCACCTTTTAGATTGTTCTTCTTTTGGCCGCTCTACAATAATATGGACTTTTTTATTAGTATCATTCTATGATGTGGCATAATTTATTAGTATTTTAATGTCATGTAGGATTTAACATTAAAAAATTAAAATATCCTAATCTCAAACTCAAATCCTAATTTATAAAACTTAATCCCAACTTACAAAACTCAAAGCTAATATTCACTCTCAACGGCGGCACCCTCATCGGCGGCACCCTCCATAAACCTAAACAGAAACCAACTCTCATAATCCCCAACCCATAAACAAATATATCCCCTTAAAATGGACGCAATAAGCCCCTTTTGGCCAAAACCCAAATCGATTACTGATGCAATAATCCATAGAGATTTGGCGTAGGGAGAAGCTTCGTTTCATGGAGACAAGATGAAATTGTACAACGAACCCTCGTCGCTCGTCGTCGTGCTGTTGGAATACCTTGGGCTGGCCATAGAATCACTGCTTTTCTGATTTGGGAGCTCCTCTTCAATCCAAAAACCGAAGTTCTTGTTTAAAGAAAAACAAAGAATGTTCAGATTGTTTGAAGAGAGCTCCCAGATTTGGTCGGCTGCTTCTTTGCTCCATTATCATTGTTTCTCATTTACTAATAATAAACTGAGAATTTTGTTGCACAGATCTGAATTCAGAAGTGTTGAGGGAAAGCATCAAGAAATGGTGTTGAAGGTGAGGGTGGGAATTGCAATTTTGGGTTCTTAAAGTTTAAGGAATATTATTTACTATTTTTAATTTTAATTTTTATTATAATCTTACGTGGCATTAAAATACTAATAAATTATGCCATGTCATAAAAAATACTAATAAAAAGGTCCATGTCATGTAGAATGACCAAACTGTAGCAATCTTAAAGTTGAGTGATTAAATTGAAAAATATTAAAGTTTACTGACCAAAATAAGAGAGAAAGATAGTTGAATGATGAGTTATGTAGTTTACCCTAATCGTTATTCATTGCTTAATTCTTAGTTGGATTGTGGTGAACTTACTGGATAAATTGTAAGTTTAAATATGTTTAAATATAATTATTTTATTTTCACAATATGTATGAAGTGCAATATCCCGTAATAATTAATAATATTGAAAGTGGATGAAGGCAACTAGCTCACCCGGATGGTAATTTAATTCGAAATTAATAGGATTCGACTTGATCCAATTTCATAATATTAGATTTTTTTTTAAAAAAAATTGAATTCGGGTTTGATTGGTTAAGATTTTTAAGAGAGTGTCGAGTTGGGTCTGGTTTAGGTGGAGGCTGGAAAAATTCTGACCCGGCCCGAGGATAATAATGTAATTTTCAAAAAAAAAATTGCTAATTGGTGCAAGAATTTGCTGGGATATCTTTAATGTCGATCGATGCTTTCTTTTACTCTCAGCTTCTCAGTGCATAATCCTGGATAATGTTGACAGATATCAGGAGAAACAGTCGGTGAAGTGAGAACGGTTTCAGACATGCATGAGCACAAAGCTGCAATGGCCCGAGAAGCCGATGCGTTTGTTGCTCTTCCTGGTAGAAATTCCTATGCCTTTGCTGCCATACTAGAGACTAGGAAAGGAAAACTTTGGTGAAAGAGTTGTGTTTTTAAATAATATAACGAAAACTAGTTCTAACATTAAAATCCGGTGTTTTAGGTGGATATGGAACAATGGAAGAGTTGCTGGAGATGATAACATGGTCCCAACTCAGAATACATAAGAAAACAGTGAGGAGTTATTCTTCAAGATCGAAGAATTAAGCTTGCTAAGTTAATATTTATTAATATAACTATGTGTATATTAATCTTGATGCAGGTTGGTTTGCTGAATGTCGATGGTTATTACAACAATTTGCTCGCGTTATTCGACAACGGTGTTAAAGAGGTTTTCATCAAGCCAGGTGCTAGGCATATACTAGTCTCTGCTCCAACAGCCAAAGAACTTATGGAGAAGATGGAGGCACACAGGGCCGGTTCAATGAGTTTTAATGCCATGAGCGAGATAATAATTTTATGCTCCTATACTTGTACCTTATAATAGACA